TACTTGGGGTTTCGCTCTTTCCACTAGAGGCTACCCTGCTACCGACAGGTTGTGACAAAAGGAACAAAAACCGGGCTGTCGGAGTCGTGCATCATCTTCACTGCTTTTCAGGATCCAAAAGGTTCCGAGGAAATAAAAAGAAGAAGAAGAAGTGTAGATCGGGTAGGTCCGGGTAAGTTGTTGTGTAATGTTTTGATATGATTTTGTAGTGCTTGCACTGTGTGGAAGTTGCAACATGTTGGGTGTCGTGCAAGGCTACCTTGAAAAGCTTTTCCACTGAGTTGGAAGGAGTTATGCGAGGCTGTGGCAGAGCGGGGGCAAAAGGGTGTTTTCGCCAAGGTAGACTGTGGGAGACGCTCAATCGTTTGACAGAAGATGAGGGCATCATGCATCGAACCACCAAAGTTGTTCCTTGGTTTTGCTTGATTTGAGGATCAAAAACAAGTACTGTATAAACAACTGTGTCCATGTTTGTTGCTTCATGTCGTGTAATTGTATATGATCATGATGATAGTTATACGTAATTAAGTAATTATAGTGTTCTCTCCAATCCAAAACCTTCCAAATCATCAAAAACATAGAAACCATGTCCAAATGAAGCTGGACAGCGGCAGCTATGCAGGTCTCATCGGCAGGGGCCTCGGACACGCAGGTCCGTTATACTGTATATAGTTGTCATTGGCCTCGGGTGTCATACATAGAAGTTTGTTGGCCAACAGTGCAACCAATCACAACATCATCACACTTGGTTATTTTATGGAGCAGAGTGCTACCCCCACCCCCAGATCTATATCCTCCAGGAAGCAAGGTTAGAGGGTTGAATCTTGCATTGCTATGGGTAGGGTGTAGCCCGATACCAGCAACAGTTGGTAGAAGATTATCACTATTTTTGAGAAAGGCCTCTACCAACCAGTTACTAATAATCATCATCCACTGTTACTGGTAATGGGAGATACCCAAGCTATGGGTGCCTTTCAAATTTCAAAACCCATGGGTTGGCCGCCTACGTTCTTGGAAGTATGGCAGTCCTTTGGATCCCTATGTTCTTCTATGGCCCTTGTTTGGCAATAGACCCGCACTAATTGAATGACTATGTCCGACTATGTCCGATTCCTGAAAAGACCCTAAAGAAACGTAAGAAACCCATCAATTCCTATGTCCTATGTTCTTCTAGGAGCGTTCGGATGCTCCGAACGGGGCTCCTGGCCTTACTAGGAATCGAACGTCTTAAGACGCTCCGCTCACCCGCTCGCGCCGAGGCCGCATCGACGAAGGCCTGTCACAGGGCGCCGCCTCAATGAAGGAGCGCACGGATCAAACGGAAGCCTCTCGGATCCAACGGAGCGCACGGAGCGTCGAGACGCTGGTCCGGTGCATGGCGGATGGTGCAGCGGACGGGGGCGCGGTGGGATGGTGCAACTCCAGGTTTTGTGTGATCCATGTTTCTGTGGCAGTGGGAGATAGATGGAGATAATACTCGTAGATCAAGGTTGCAAAGATAATTGGTCCACAAACCACTCCCACTTACATTGTAGTCTCATCTAAAGGTTTAGTATGAATCAGTATGGATAAAAAGCAGATCAGTGGCTGACGGGGTACTGAGGAGTGATTTAATCGGGAGTACTATCAATATCAATTCCCTCATCATGTTGAGATGTTCTTTTCTGTAGACCGAATGTGTATGTGTTGCAATGCGATCGCATGCCTATTGCTACAACTGCAGGATTCTTGTACTAGTAGCAATCAAACAGTAGAGATATAGAGACATAACCATCATATATATATAGAGATGTTGACACATATTTCTAGCCTGGGCTGCACATTCACACGCAAATTCTACTTATACAGTGTAATTGGTTTTTGATGGTTTAATTAGGGTGTCCTAATTTAGAGACACTCTACAGTATGTGTATATATATATATCATGTTGGTGCAAGATTTCAGTAGTGGCCCTGCATTCGTTGAGGTGCGAATGCGACATTTGATCAAGCGTGTGGATGAAGGCTTGGGAGTGGATGAAGTGCACTGAGATTCATCTCAATATGTGTTCATCACAATTGTGGTCAAACAGGAACACAATTGGTAATTCCGGCAAATGGTTCAAGAAATGTAGTATTTCGTTTGCTGAAATGGTGTATGGGTCATTATGGGTCCGGTTCCTGCTTGTGTTTGATGTGGGTGTGGGTCATTTGAAGCATCTGACCTAAAGCTTCACCTCCCTCCCGAGCACCCTCTTGACGTTTGGGCGGTTCAATGCTAGGCCTCTCTGCTGGAGCGGCTGCTTTGAAGGAATCTCTTGGACCCAAGGGAGGTGTGCAGCAAAATCAGGGAGGCATAATCTCCAAAGGGGGCAAAGGAAGAAGCCCTTAAAAGAGGTGATGGAAAAAGAGTCGGACACCATAGTTTAAGAGTAGTTGCAGTAAAGAACCATGGCGTGTGCACATACTTCCCTCATGATCCTCATGGCCTCTTGGTTTCTCGACAACAAGTGGTGAGCTCATTCCCATTGGTTACCTTTCTCTAACTGCGCCTCGGCTGGGAATGGAGGATTCGAAGCCAACTGCGAAGGGTTGCTCTACATGACCGTATACATATATATATAGAGATATATATACAGTAATGATATAAACATTGGTCCAGTTTGCCAGTTTGGTCCTTCACAAACCGGACCAAAGGCCCAGGGCCACTGGATGTAAATAGTGCATTGGCCCATTTGTTGGGTTCAATGTTGGAAGATGATGGCAGATATCACCAGGACACCCTCACCAACACTGGCGAAAAGCTGGGCAGCATCTCCGAGACAAGGCTCGCATGAGTGGAGGGACCTTTATGGCCCAGACGCAGCGCAAAAGAAAATTGCCAAAAGAGAATGAAATGGGAAGAAAAGGACAAGAATGAAGTAGTACCCAGCTCCAATGTATGACCTTCCATTTTTTTTGCAGGGCTTGTATTTGATGCATGATTGGTTGCCAGGAGCGCAAAGGAACGCGTGTAAGACCTTGACCATTTGGCCCTGTCCACCTGCAACAGGGAACAGCCACCGCCGCGAAGCACACGGCCTTCCGGAGAGCGTGGCGCAGGGAGCCTCGTGTGAGCGCAGGGAGCGGAGTCTGAGTGCTTCGCTGAGCGCTTCGCTGCATCTTCTTTCGTCTTGGGGTACCACATGGTGATTCCAAACCTTTATGAATATGAATATATATATATATATGCATAAAGCATCATAAAGCTTCCCTTCACCTTCACCACTGGATTATCACGAAAGCTAGCGAAGCTAGCTGGAGTTACTCTTGCGATAGCAAGGTTTCTTTCGACCGGGTGCAAATCCTAACCCCTGATTTTTCAGGTCGAAGACCCCCCCCACCCCCCCCCCCGAGCCCCCACCCCTATCACTCTCCCCACCTCCCCTCTCCCCCACCTCCCCTCTCCTCCTTGTCTTCCTCCCATCTTCCCTCCCTCCCTCCCTCCTCCCTCTTCGCAAGTTCGACTCCGTCCTGTCGTCGCTCTTTGGCATGCGGTTAGCGTTGCGTATCTTGCGGCCGCACTCGCTCACTCTCACTCTCACTCTCTCACTGTCTCACTGTCTCTCTCATCTCTCTCATCTCTCTCTCATCTCTCTCTCCTCTCTCTCTCTCTCTCCTCTCTGTCTCTCGTCTTTCCGTCTCTCTTCTCTCTCTTCTCTCGCAGGAGGATCCGGGCAAAGAGCCACATATAAAGGACTCTTCACCCCTGCCTCCAAAAAGAGCGCCGTGTTTTTTCCTACCTCGCTGCCCTCCACTTTCCCATTCTGGAGTGCTAGCTTTCGCCCCCCCCTTGGCCTCAAGTTGGAATTCTGGTGCAGAATGTGGAATGTGGGACTTCTCTTCACCACATGTATAATCCATGCCCGAGTGGTGAAGGGAAGTCCAACTTTGAAGACTTGGTTCTGCTGTGACATACAGCCACTGTCACAGCCTTGGGAGTCCCAGGGCAGTGGCTTTACCATGTGTTTATGTGTTCGGTTGATTTGGCTATGGGGCAAAACCCCAAAACCTAGGTTGACTGCGGTTGACCCTTCTTTCACGCAGCGTGCTTGGTATTGACCTATTCTCCCACATATTCCTGCATGCTCCTTCCCACTTGACACGTGTGAGACGTGTCGAGGCCGCCTTCCCGTTTGGCCTCGCACATGTCGAGGCCGCCTCGCGTGGGACCACCTCCCCCATCACACAGCAACAGCAGCAGCAGTTAATGCAGGCCTGGTAGTGTTTTGCCAGCTTCATTCCAGAGTTTGTGAAAATGAGTAGACCTCCCGAAGAACTGCTGGGACGTTTTTGATGTTGATTTTGAGGCAAAGAGCACTCAAAGTTCCAAAGGTACTGACATCCAGCAAAACACTTGACAGGTACGGGCAGCCAGGGCCCTGAGCGGTACAACCACAGCACCAATGAACAAGTCTTGCAAAGACTTGGGGTCGTCACCCTTTGCGGACATCGAAGATTCACAGAGCCACCTGAGACATGGTTTTCTGGGGAGTGAACGTGATTCCAAGTGCCGGAGAACAAGCACTTGTTTCGGCTGGTGCCGCACGGGGAAGGTCAATGGCGTTCAAGAATCCACCATGTCTCGGCAACTCAAGTTTTGTGAAACCAAGTGTTTTCCGGCAAAGGCTACCACTTTCCGCTGTTCATTTGCAGGGGCTTACTGCCACTCCAAATTCATTCACCAAGGCCCAGGCTCAGATGGCTAGCGGGGAGTCCTGGAGAGCCAGATGTTGCAAGAGCCCTTTGTCCCTAGCAGACTGAATCTTGGTGCTTGTCAATTGGTGTTGCTAGAATTGTTTTCAATTGTTTTCATGCACCATAGGGCATACCAGATCAAAAGATGCATCGCACTACTTCAAGAAGGCACGATTCAGAAGGGTTCAGAAGGCCTCAGTACAAGAACTCCTTCGCCTTTGAGGGGAAGATCCAAGAATGCAAGCTCGCAGGCACTTGCAGGCTATGTATTCAAGACAAACTACATTGCTGAGACCTAAACTCACATTTGAGCAGCTGGCTACATACAGAAGTCCCCAAAACACTTCATGTCCGAGAACTTTAGACCAAAAAGACTGTTGAATGAGTCCTCTCCCTGTGGCTTTTACTCTTAGGTCGCCAGCGTTCGCCTCAAAGTAGTCAGGCGACGCAGCCGAGCTTTGCTCATTTGGCGCGATGTTGTGGAATTTGTTAGACTCTGGGAAGCTGTCGAGGGGTGTGGTGATGCGACAACATGGTTCTAGGAGTTTCTTGAGGCGTAGGGTTGCCATGTGGTCAACTTGACACGCCAAATTGTCACATTGCTCGCTGCGCGACTGGAGGCGCCCTCGCACTTTCGCTCGCCTGTGCAGACTCCCTCCTCGGCATATCCCTGTTCATTACAGGCACAGCTGGTTCATCGATTTGGTTCTGACCCAGAATGCAAAAGGATCAAACGTGCATGGAGTGGAGGGGTTTGAGCAATGGATTTGGTTGCTCACATGTGATCACGATACTTTGTATAGAGGGGAAACATAGGGAAACCATTAACGGTTGGAAGGCGAAACCATCAGACGAAACCCAAACGATGAAAAGTGGAACCCCAAGATCCGGCATCGCAGGTGCCTGGAAGCGGACTGAACAACATGCACCAGGCCTGAAGTATGACATGTGTTGGGAAAAAAGAGTCATCCTTCAGTCCTCATGTCATACTGCCACTAGTTTGTGTCAATACTCAATACAGTACTTTTCCACGCCGAGGCTGATGTGATCCAGCATTGTGTATAGTTCAGTCATGTTTAATCAGAGCACTCACTGAGGGTGGTCCTGTTCCACATGCTCGACTCTCAGATGGGGAATATCCAAGAGTTTCTTGAGTTTGTTGTCCAAATGGAAAACCCAAATTTGCTGGTACAACCAAGTTCAATGCCACATTTGAGTGTGGGCAATGCTCTTTTTTCTTGGCTTACTGTAAACGGGCCTTGACGTTCTTGACTCTAAAGTATTTACTGCATTAAATATTAGTACACAGCACACACACACACACACATCGTGTTGAATTTTTGGACTGTGGCTGAGCCATTCGTGTCGTTGTTGTTGGAGCGTAATATGTGTGTTTTTTCTTTTTTGTAAGATGTCCAGTTTATGCAGGGCTGGGATGTTCGACTTAGGCGAAGCATACCCCCGAAGCATACCCTCTGAACACGCTACATTTTTAGCCTTCACACTGTGCGAAGCATACCCCGAAGCATACCTCCGAAGCATACCCCATAGTCCCATATGTTTTGACATACCTCTCCGACTTATCAAATCTTCCTTGATGAATTCTACAAAATTTGCACCGAACAGGTACCGCAGCCGCTGCCAGGCACCGGGTGTGTGTGTGTGTAAATATGCGTATATATAACTATATATATATACATATTATGTCATAAGCTTGAAAAGTCGCATCCACTTGAAATGCAAGAAAGCCAAGCAGATTGGTACCTTGCTTCTGTAGTCATCCACGTAGGTATGCACGATCCACGCCTGATGCAACAGCCGCGGGCCTCAGCGAACTGGAAACTCACTTGTTTTGGCAAATGTTGAAATGAGCTCAATGGCCCTGGGATGAACGACAGACTTCCTGCGTGCTAGCTGATCCAAGTCGTTGTGATGCTAACTTGAGAGTACTGTACTTTGTTGACAGCCACGAGTGTTTCCATAGAGGGATGAGGAGTCTTTGCATGTCAATTTCACGTGGAACTGTACCCAAAGGACCCCAAAGGACCCTAGAGATCAGCGGTGGCGGCTTGTACCAGCCTGAAGGCGAGTGGCGAGCTTTCATCAACAGCATCAAGCTCACCAAGCGCAGCAAGTGCTGAATCATACGCGATAATCTGAATCTGCAAATTGCTCGGCAGGGGCAAGTTCCAGCAAAAGTTTCACGAAGCAAATGATTCTGATATTCCCGTGATTGGTGAATCGATCCATAATTCCACAAAATAGTAGTTTCTGACAATCATAATTTATTGATTTGGTTTCCTTATTCACGGACAAAGAAATTGCAAAGGAATCTTGAATAGGATGCTTTACATATATCCAGACAATAGAAATTCAAAAAGAATACAAAATATAAATATATACAAATAATACATATATAATTTACTTAAATATATATAATATATAGTTAATTTACATATTGAAATTATATATATATATTTATTAATATTATGAATTATGAAATAATTTATTGTTGTGATTTTAAAATAAATATATAGATTGATATATGTCTTTGTATAAAATTTTATATTTAATATAATATAATATGTAATTGTATATAATATATATATATATTTATAAATTATATATAATATTTATTATATTTAATGATATTTAAATATAATATTTTATATATAAAAATGAATTATTTATATTCGAAATTGAATAAATAAATAAATATATAATGATAATATAATTATATATCGAAATATATATTTATTTTTAATTGTATATATATTAAAATTAAAATATTATATATATGAAGATTTATATATATTATATAATATTGATTTTATTATTATTTAATTTATATTCAAAAAAAATGGCAGAATATTATTGTATTATTCTGGAAATAGCTTTGCCATTATTGTAAAAAATATAATCTAAAAGGCGGTGAGCTAGCATTTTACCTTGAGGACCCCC